CTTTCCTACTCCTCTGATGCTGCCTGGCCTGCTGTGTTCCTCCAGCTCCACACTGTTATCTCTGACTCCAGCATTGGCAGTTCTTACTATCTCGATGTTAGGTGTGAGGCCTTGTTTAGAATCTGTTTGTGTTTTGGTTTGGAGTCAGACTGGTTGTAGTTCTAAAGTAGGAATTTATAAAATGCCACATTGTCTATAAATTGTGTGCTTTTTGAACAGAATAGAATGTATCCACAAATATAGATTCACGTGTGTGTGTCTTACATATACGTATTAATCAATTAAAACCGAACTGATTAAAGATTTAACAGCATCTTAGGTTTGTTTAATAAATCCTCGGCAGTGATGCGACCCTTTGAACTTTTACTTAGAAATTCTGTGTCTGATATTACCTCTGTTCCTAACGTGTAAAGGAGTAAGGCTCCAAAAGTTTGTGTTTTCAAATAAACCTTGTGGACTATAACCTTGCATCGTGTGATTTCTGAAAATTTGTGATTAACATTTAATCTCTGGAGGTAACATGAGCATATCTGTATCCTGTGTTCTTGTGTGTATGATCTTAAGATTATCGTTTGAATTATTTAGCCATGACTTGTGCACTTAATGGTAAGGCCCTGGGGCATGTTGCTGACAAAGACCTTGCGGTGTACGTTCATTGTTCCTTGAAAAGTGGAGTCCCAGGTAGATAAGATAGTAAAGAAGGCCTTGGTATGCTTTTATTGGTTAGTGCATTGAGTATAGGAGTTGGGGAGTCATGTTGCAGCTGTACAGGACATTAGTTAGGCCACTTTTGGAATGCGGCATACAATACTGGTCCCCCTGCTATAGGAAGGATGTTGTGAAACTTGAAAAGATTCAGAAAAGATTTACAAGGATGTTGCCAGGGTTGGAGGACTTGAGCCTTAGGTAGAGGCTGCATAGGCTGGGGCTGTTTTCTCTGGAGTTTCGGAGGCTAAGGGATGACGTGTAGAGGTTTATAAAATCATGAGGGACATGGATAGGGTGAATAGTCAAGGTCTTTTCCGAGGGTAGGGGAATCTAAAACCAGAGGGCGTAACTTTAAGGTGAGAGGGGAAAGATTTAAAAGGGATGTAAGGGACAATGTATGCACTGCCCTCTGCGTGAAATCATGGAATTAGCTGCCAGAGGAAGTGGTGGAGGCTGGTACAATTACAACATTTAAAAGGCATCTGAACGAGTATATGAGAAGGAAGGGTTTAGAGGGATATGGACCAAGTGCTGACAAATGGGACTAGATTAATTTGTTATCTGGTCGGCATGGATGAGTTGGACCAAAGGGTCTGCTTCCATGTTGTACAGCTCTATAAATGTGTGATCAATAATTGTGCTGTTAAAGAGTCCACACTTAGTTGGCATATTTTGTAATCTTCAGCATTGTCTTTAAAGATTATTTTAAAAATAGATTCCCCCATTGGTGAAAATGATGGGCCCTCTCGGAAGGATAGATGCAGTTTTTGGTCTTGCTGTGATCTCATCAGAAAAATCAATGTTACTGATTAGGAGGCGGGAAATAAGCCAAGCCGATTTCTATCTGCATGTTGCCATTGTGTGAAGATGTGTGAAGCTGTTAGTTGAAAACAGAATTGCACTTAGTGCATGTCCCTGGTGATTACAGTGCTGCCTGCACTCCTTTTTGAAGGTTGCATTTGAGTGATGCTGCTGTGCAGTATTGTGGGAATAACTAACATCTATGGAAGCCAGTAACTTCAGAAGGGGAAAAGAGAAAACTAATGTGCGAGAAGCTAAGAATAAGGCATCGTCTCTGAACCAATTACAATACTGCTACTGTTCATCTGTTGTAATAGCTTCAGCTAACTAGCAAATCCATAGAATCCGTACAGTGTGGAAACGGGCCATTCAGCCCAAAAAGTCCACACTGACCTTTCAATGGGCATCCCATCTAGACCCATTCCCCTGCCCTTTCCCTGTAACCCCACATTTCCTATGGCTAACGCACCTAACCTACACACCCCTGAACACTATGGGCAAATTAGCATGGCCAATCTACCTAGCCTGCACATCTTTGGACTGTGGTAGAAAACCCACACAGCCACGGGGAGAATGTACAAACTCTACACAGACGTCACCTGCGGCTGGAATTGAACCCAAGTCCCTAGGTTTGTGAGGCAGCAGTGCTAACCACTGAGCCACCATACTGCCCCAAATCATTAATAAAGTACTTAATTGTCTTGCTTTTCTCCTTTACATTCCATATGTCTTGTATGACTCCATTATATTTTAAATTGCCTTTGTCTTTTTTAACTTTTTAAACTATTGAACACTTTTTAAAAATACCGTAAACATTTGGCAGTTTTCTTTCTTCCAGCTGCATTCTTTCTTCTCTTCTCCATTTTAGAGGAGAAGTCCTAATCTAAAAATATAGCACCATTAATTCACTAACTCCACTTTTTTCTAATTGTGCACAATCTTTTAAGGTTTGTATGCTCACTGTACCAGCTCATATTGAAGCTTAAAGCCTCGAGTTGCTGCTGGCCATTTTAACTGACGCAGGGTACTAGCACGACCTTCACCAAATGTGAGAAATCACTCAGAGTATTCAAAAAATCAACATGGAAAAAGTTGCTACAGTTACATTGCATTAATTCAAAATGAAATTTTGGAAGTTATAATTTTGTGCAAAATCTGTAAATGGAGGAATGTAAAAAAATTTTTTGTACCGTTGGTGATCCTGTCATCTCAATATGGGTATTCAGTTTTGCTCTAGATTCAATTCAAAAGAATTTCATTTTTATAAAAGCACTTTACAGCCACTGGATTTTCTAAAGCATTTTGTCAACCTTTTTTTTGTTTTAAGTTTTCCATTAGGTGACGTTACTATATCCTTTAGGTCTCAAAAGTTGAAATCCTGTTTCTGGAAATGAGCATGTCATCTCAATTACTTGAGTTCAGTTTGAACTTTGGCATCATTTTTAACCAAGGTACAAAGAGCCTATGCAGTACTAAGGTGCCAGCTGTTTGGAATAAATTTTGTACAATGTCTTACTTTATGTTTGGGTGGTTCAGATAGATCTTAAATTCTATACATAATTCGGAGACTGGGATGTTCTGTATTATCTTACCATTATTACCTTCAACTAGTAACACCAAAAAACATTAACATTATAGCTATCACAGAGCTCTTTGAGATCTTAGAGTTATAGTCTTACATCAAGAAAACAGACCCTTTGGCCCAACTCATCCGTGCCAACAATCTTGTATATCAAATATTCCAAAAATCTTGTGCACAAATTTTCTTATGTGTATTGGCTTTTAATCCAGTATTGTCTCTGTTTTGAATACTTGTCTTTGCGTTCATATTTCCTGTGGACTCGCTCATTGTTATTTAAGTAACTTCTTTCAACTCCAGAACTGTGTGGTCTTCCGGTTGTGGCTTTCTGCATGCCCAGTCCGCATAATTTCTCCACTGGCAGTCATGATCTTGAGCTCTTGAGTTCCCTACCTAAAACATTCAATCTCTCATCCTTAAGATGGTTTTTAGAACCTATTCCTGGGGATAAATGTTTGGTTTAATATCCCTATGGTTTATTCAGACTTTAATTTGCATGATTAAGTTTGCTTCTTTGCTTTTAATGTAACAAAATACAACGTACAAATGCTTTTACACCCATAATTATTTCAGCCCTTTCAGATATGATGCACAATACAAATGCAAATTAAAGAAAAATAAGTGGATTCATGAAGTTGACTTGCAATTTGATTTGAACTTGCTGAATTTTGTCAGCCAGCCTGTTGTAAATATGATCCAAGCTGCCACGTGCTTTCCCTTGTTAGAATTGCTACTGTTGATGAATGCCTGAAAATAGTTGACTCGATTTGAACTTCAGGCTGTAAAGGGTTTTTTCGTAAGTGGACGTTGGGTAGAGAATTGTGGTACTTTATGGCAAGGCCGTAGTTGATTTTCTGCAATAATTTACTTTTTCTACCTGCCACCGGTTTCCAAGTATCTTGCAGGAGTTCAATTGGTGAGGCTTATGGCAGCTGTCAGAAACATATCATTTTAACTGTTTATATTAGCATCTACAGTTAAAGGCCTGAGAATTGTGCATTTAATATCAGCTTTAAATTCTAAAGCTAAATGTCTTGAGATTTATATTCTCATTGTCTCGATTTCAAAAAATATTTTTCTACCTTTATTCCATTTTTTTTAGTTTGCAGAATGCTGATTAGTAGGGTAAGGTGTTTGAGGATAAGTAGTGAACTGACATTTGGAGCCACATTATAGAATCGTAAAGTTTATAGTCAAACAGCATGGAAACAGATCCTTTGGTCCAACCAGTCCAAGCTGACCAAATTCCCCAAACTAAACTAATCCTATTTGCCTGCATTTAGCCCATATCCCTCTAAACCCTTCCTTATTCGTGTATCCATCCAAATATCTTTTAAATGTTCTAACTTATACCTGCATTTACCACTCCCTCTGGCAGTTCATTCCACATACAAACCACCCTCTGTGGAAAAAGTTGCCCCTCAGGTCCTTTTTTTAGACCTTTCTCCCCTCACCTTAAAAATATGACCCTAGTTTTGAACCTCCCCCACCCTAGTTAAGACCTTTGCTATTCACCTTATCTCTGCCCCTCATGATTTTATACATGTCAATAAGGTCACCCCTCAACCTCCTCTGCTCCAGTGGAGAAGGTTGCAGCCTATCCAGTCTCTCCTTATAACCTAAACCCTCCGGTCCCAGCAACGTTCTGGTAAATCTTTTCTGAACTCTCTCCAATTTAATCATATCCTTCCTGCAGCAGGCCGACGAGAACTGTACGCAGCACTCCTAAAGTGGTCTCACCAACGTCTTGGACAACTTCAATCTGATGTCCCAACTCCTATACTCAATGGTCTGAGCATTGAAAGCAAGCATGCTAATTGTGGCCATAATCGCCCTGTCTACCTGTAACACAACTTTCAAAAAATTATGTACCTGAACCCCTAGGTCTCCCTGTTTGACAACACTAGTCAGGGCCCTACCATTTACTGTGTAAGTCCTGTTCTTGTTTGCTTACCAAAATGCAATATCTCATATTTAACCAAATTAAACTCCATCTGCCACTCCTTAGCCCGTTGGCCCAATTAATCAAGATCACTTTGTAATCTCAGGAATCTTCTTCGTTCTTGACTATATCATGAATTTTGGTGTCATCCACAAACTTACTAACCATGCCCCCTAAATTCTCATCCAAATCATTTATATAAATGACAAACAAAATTAAACCCGTCTGCAATCCCTGTGGAACACTGCTGTTTTTGTCACTGCTCGCCATGGCCTCTGAAGTAAATCATTAATTGTGAAAATTTTGAGAATACACATCTCTGCACTTGCACGTTGTCTGCATCAAATACAACAGTGACTGTAACTTTCAATTAAATGTTTAAAGCAAACCTAAATACACAACATATTTAGTTGATCTAAAACTATTAGTTGGTATGTGGATGTTAAACAATACATTATTTTCACTATTAACTGTCGTGTCCATCTCAGGATGGATGTGTGAGATCATTTAAAGATGTGGTTTTACAATATCATGCACTTGATTTCATTTGATTTTTGAGAGTAATTGTCTATATCCTGTTTTGCTTTCATGTTAAGGTTTTGCAAAGACTTTTTTTTAAAAAAAGCTAGATTTTAAAGAAAAAAAACTCTAATAATCAGTTTTAATTAATTGTTTGGACCATTCAGCTAATCTGCTTCTTTATAATTCAAAGGAATATACATTGTCCTTAGAGATAATAGGAACTGCAGATGATTCATTTCTGAAGAAGGGTCTAGGCCCGAAACGTCAGCTTTCTTGCTCCTCTAATGCTGCTTGGCCTGCTGTGTTCATCCAGCTCTACACCTTGTTATACATTGTCCTTAATTCAGTTTTTAATCAGAGAGAACTGAGCTGCAGGTTGAATGAATTGCAACTGTATGTTTGTATTTATAGAGGAACGTGGGTTATATTCTTTTCTACAAAGTAGAATTGCTGGAAACCTACCAAGGTTTCCAGCATTCGCTCCATACCATACAACACGGTGACCAGACATTATATTCTGCCCCTTTTCTTTCTGTCTTTCCCCTCTATTGTTTATTATTTCTTTTATTTTGCTTTTCTGAAATCACCAGAAACAGTGAGCGATCCTTGTAAAAGATATACATACAACCTCTGTTCCAGTTAATGTTCTGTAGTGATCGATTAACTTCTGACAGAATAAAATTTATAATCCCCCTTGCTTAGTTTTTTTGAGTAATTGTATTGCTAGGCTGCAAGACTGCTCATGTTGCCTTGCATCTGGCAATATGATTTGTAAATCCATGTTCGTGCCTTTGTTTTTATGACAGATCCAGCACTGCCACCAGCAGAAATTTATCTACCTCTCCAAAATCCTCGACTAGCTGCAACTCCTACTCGTCCTTGTCCTCCCCTTCTACAGTCTCTAATGGTGAGAGCAACAACTCCAGCAACTCCAGCTACATATTAAACAGCTCCAGCTCCACCAGGGGGTGAGTGTACCTGCATGGTGGAAAGACATAGCCTTAAATGCCTCAGTCAGTTTTTATTTCAAACTTTTTTTAAAAAAGGTGACCCGGTGGCTTTTAATTTCAAAATCTATCTTCATTCAACTAAATCTATATTTTCTTTTCTGGTCAGTTGTCCTATTCAATGGCCATACACAATTTCACATAAGGATCTTAGCTCTAATAAGATACCTGTCTGACCGCAGACCTGGGGCTCCCTGTTGTTTGCTCAGTTGACTGATTTCAATTTAAATCATAAATGCTTAAGAAATCGAACCTCATATTTTTACATTTTAAAAGAACTAATGTCCAAAAGGCTTTTCTCCCTCCCCATCCAAAACAATTACTGAAGTATCTAGAAATTTAATTAAGTCTTTGTATAAAAGTCCTGAGAGAAGCACAGATTGTTCCATTATCTGTTGCCTGGAAGTTTAATGAGTTTGTAAAACTATTATTTCTTACCCCCAATTCCTGTGTTGTGAAGGCGAAAATGAATTAGACTTTGTATTTCAGACCTTTTTAAAATAAAAGTTGTGTGCATGCTTTAATAGTGAACCTTTAACTTCTGTCCACTATCTCAACAAACCTCTGCTAGAGTCTATTCTTCGTGATATTTTCAGGTGACAGTTTGGTGAATGACTCATTTTGAACTAGCCAAAAGTACCATTGGAAACTCCATTGCATGGCTTTACTGTTTGGTATGATTTCCTTTTGAATTAAAGTTGTGCTGACATAACTTTTCCACTGTTCTAAATTTGTAGGGAAAATCCTTACCATTTTAAGATGAAGACTTTTTTTTTTAGTATTTTGAGTTGCTGCTCCATTTCTCCTTCACGCTGCTTTTGTAATGCAGTGTAATTTTGTGTCTAATGATACTGTCATATATAGTTGTCCAAAAACACAATTTTACTGATATTTCACATGATAACGTTTGATTTCTTATGTTTAGGCAGGATTCTGACTTGGAGGTATTCAATCTTAATGCCAAGATGGTAGCTTCGTGCCATTGACTCCTCAACCAAGCATATAAACCGAATGTCTGCACCTGCAATTCCTCTCTTACTGAGTAGGATTACTATTGCAGCAAGACCTCATCAGTGCAGTAAAACTAACCTTTCACACATTGGTCTAAACCAATGTAAATTTCCTTCATTAGCTGGCCCAGACACTTCCTTAAACGTATAGATTTCATACGATCTCTGGGGTAAAATATTTTTACCTTTTTTTTTCCAATTTTCAACAGTTTAGCTTATTGTTTGTTTGTTTTTTTCAGGTCAAGTGGTTATGGATCTTCACACAACAGTTCTTATTATTATAGGGAATCTCATGCACCAAGCCAAGCAGGACTTTGTGGCCTAAGTAATCTTGGTAATACGTGCTTCATGAATTCAGCATTGCAGGTAAGATTCAAGAAATTTTCTGCGAAAATAGCTTGAATTGTTATTGTATGTTCTTATTACCTAGCTATACTAACTTTTCTTAGGGACAGATTTGAATACATTTAAAATGTTTTCCATTTTAATTTTTTTAGTGTTTGAGTAATACTGGTCCATTGACTGATTACTTCCTACAAGGAAAGTACGAAGAAGAACTGAATCGGGAAAATCCTTTGGGAATGAGGGGAGAAATTGCTGAAGCCTATGCTGAGCTCATCAAACAGATGTGGTCAGGGAGAAGCTCTTATGTGGCACCTCGGATGTTTAAAGTAGGTTCTGGTGGATTCTTTTGCATTGCTTAATTTGTAGTAATTTTTGAAGGTTAGATTTTAAGATATATTAAAGTACAACTCACTACCTTGGAAGGATGGAATGAGTTTATCATAGAATCATAGAATCCCTACAGTGTGGAAACAGGCCCTTCAGCCCAACAAGTCCACACCGAACCTCGGAACATCCCACCCCCCTGAACACTACGGGCAATTTCGCATGGCCAATCCACCTAACCTGCACATCTTTGGACTGTGGGAGGACACTAGAGCACCCGGAGGAAACCCACGCAGACACGGGGAGAACATGCAAACTCCACACAGACAGTCACCCGAGGCTGGAATTGAACCCGGGTCCCTGGCGCTGTGAGGCAGCAGTGCTAACCACTGTACCACCGTGCTGCCATGGGTTAAGATCTAGAATTTGTCAGTTTCTATTTTACGTCAAAGCTTTGTATCCGTATCTTGTGCCCTCCCACCTAGTTTCAAGCAGATTGTCACACTTTCTTACCAGACTTAATATCTGTGATATGCTGTAACTATTTTCATCAGACTGTGTAAGTGAGACCTACTAAATGAAGGCAGTAACAAATTAATACATTAATATTTTTACAATACATGTTACAGCAATTGCTAAAACCTAATTTCCATATAATATATAATAATCGCCATATAATTCCCCACATAAGACTAGTTTTTGATTTTGTGTATATCTGTCCATCTAATGAAACAAAGGCCATTGTGTTATATTAGGATTTCTGCCTGTTTTCCCTAGGAGACAAGCTCGTTCCTCACCTTTTGGTGGTTTGCCTTGTCCTTGCTGGCTTTTGCACATAAATTGATTAATTTCAAATATAGATCATTTAGTGCTTGTGGATTATATTTGAAAAGTACCTTGGGTGATTTGTTAGTGCGGGTATAAAAACGGTCATTTATAGTAAGAACATAATAAAAAAAGGCATTTCAAGGCTCTTGTGCTGCACTGAAAACGTCCCTTACCTTTTTGAGCTAGGAGACAACATTCAAGTCCTACCTGTCCCAAGTGTATAACAACATCTCTGTACAGGTCAATTAGAAAATATCTAGAAAGGCATTCCAAGGGTTCTTGTGGCACAGTGGTAATATCCCTGCATTCAAGTCCCACCTGCTCAGTGTCGCAATTGAAAACAAAGAACTGCGGATGCTGGTGATATGAAACAAATAAAAACAAAAATTGCTGGAGAAACTTGATATGTGACAGCATTTGAGAAGAGAAAAGTGTTTCAAGTCAAGTGAACCTTGGGTCTGGTTCTCTGTTTTATTTTCACAATAACACAGGTGTTGCCAGACCTGTTGAGTTTCTCCAACAACTTTTGATTTCATGTCGTAACATGTCTGAACACATTGATTTAAAAATGCATAGAAGGGTAACCCATTGCAGCCTAAAGATTTTTAGAAGTGCATCTTTGTCTCTGCCCGTATTTTTAACATTATTGGTGGTAAACCATATATGGCTATCTATTTCCTGTCATCAGAATCCAGTATTTTGTGCAAATTTCTAAGTAATGTTGTAGAAAATTAAATAATACTTGTTCTTGAATGCAAGGAATCATGGATGGATGCTAACACGTACCAGTGGAGTATAATTCTGTCTACTTTGTGTAACTGACAAATTATATTCTTCAAGATTGTGAAGTCTTGACTAACTATGTAAGAAGCCAGTTCTTTATGGAAAATCAATTATTTAAATGAGCAAACCAATCTAATTGTATTCCAAGGCTACTAATCAACATGAATAGAAGGAAACATATGCTACAGAATGTTATAATTAAATCTTTAAATGTAAAGTTGATTTATAGGGCAGCTTTATACTAGTACCTACCAACTAGAGATTTGTGCTGGTGGAATGTTTGAAATAATTTTAAGTTATTACAGGAATAATTAAAACAGCATTTTAAAACCTTCATTATAAATACTTATTACCAAATTAAGTGCATGTTTAAAATGAAAATCATCCAGTTAAGTATGAAATTCTTTCTCTCTCCAGACCCAGGTTGGGTGTTTTGCTCCCCAGTTTTCAGGATACCAGCAACAGGATTCTCAAGAGCTACTTGCATTTCTTTTAGATGGCTTGCATGAAGATTTAAATCGTGTGAAGAAAAAGCCCTACTTAGAACTTAAAGATGCCAATGGGAGGGAAGATGAGGTAGGACTGGCTGAATAAACCCTCAAAATAATGCAAGTCTGCTTATTACACAGTGAACATTGAATAAAACAGAATTTTCTATTTATTTCATAGCCTCAATCTGTTCCAAAATGTTTCACATCTGTTGAATTACTTCCATAGGATAAATATTTAAATTTCCTCCCAAAATCAAAGTTTGGAAATATGATCCTTCTAAATTTATCACTAATTGTTTCTGAGTGTGACTCAGAGCAGTAACAGGACAGTGATTGTCACTTTCCCCTCTGCCTGTTGGTGTCATATTTTCAAGGCATTAAATCTTTATCAATTGGTTGCAGCAAGCCTTTTATTGCCAAACAGTAGAAATTAACATGTGTGCAGGCAATAATATCCAGTTCTCAACTGATTGTACGTCACCTTCAAGTTTACAGGGTAATGCACTTTGCTACTTGCTCTTGTTCACATTCTTTAGCAAAGGAGTTTTAAGCTCCAGCATCTTTATGTCCACTCGTACAAGCTAAGCTTTTATTTCTTTTGCTTGACTATGAAAATTTTCCTTACGTATAATTAATCCATTAAAAATCTTATTGATGTTTTCCTCAATGTTTAAAAAGTGTGGCATTAAATGGCATCCATTGCACTAGGTTATACCTCTGTTGTCCAACTCTGCCTTTCTTTGTATGCATTTATCAACAGTTTAGTTACATTTGATATGTCCTCTTATATGCTGCGTGACAGTTTGCAGACCAATTCATTAATATGCACTTCAGTAAAAATTCATTGTAAAATAATAGAGCTTATTCCATTCCAAAATCTGCTGAAAAGTCTGTTGTCAGCCCTGTTAACTGAGTTGTAGCAAAAACTGCTACTTGCATATACATCTTTAATATCAGCTTAGTTCTATTAGTTTTCTTGCCTCTATTCCAAAAGCCCCAGTGCTCATTTGAGTATGTTAACTAGAGCAACATTTTCTCACACCATTGTGCACCCTGAGGTCCAAACTTAGGCTAAAATCTAAAACCAAGCTTCTGTCTGGCTGCATGTGTAGATGTAAAATATCATGATACTATTTAAAGAACGGCAAGATGCTCTACTGCTACCTTGGCTAATACATCTTTGTCAGATACCTTTGTGTGTTTTGGATTTTTATTGATCTTCTCTTGGTGGGACCTTGCATTATGCTGATGTAGCATTCAGAAGTAGTCTAATAAATGTGAGATATTTTGGAATATCCTGAATACACAATGTGGCTTCATAATAATACATATTCCTCATTAATGATGTGCAGCACCAAACAAATGTTCTGTCCTCTTTTTGGTTGTAGGTAGTGGCTAAAGAAGCATGGGAAAATCACAGGTTAAGAAACAACTCCATCATTGTGGACATCTTCCATGGGCTTTTTAAATCCACTCTAGTTTGTCCTCAGTGTTCAAAAATTTCTGTAACATTTGACCCTTTCTGTTACTTAACTCTTCCATTACCTATGAAGAAGGACCGCACGATGGAAATCTTTCTTGTGCGGGCAGACTCATCTAGGCCAACCCAGGTATGATCAGGTTCTCTGCAATAAACTATTGTACGATAATCAGCATGGTAGGGTAGGTAACTATATAATTAAGAGATTTGAGATAGTGGGTCCACTTCCTGTGAAGCAAAAAAGGCCGACAAGATTTGATGCATGTTTTAAAAATCATTGGTTTTGGTTTTGATGAAAGACAACTTCCTATAATTGAGCTAAAACAAAGAACTGCAGGTACTGGAAATAAAATGACAAATGCAGAAACTCAGCAGGTCTGGCAGCACCAGAGAAAACGATGTTTCAAGTCCAACGACTTCAGGGAAGGGACTGAAGAAGGGTCATTGGGCTTAAACCTTTCACTTGTTTCTTTTCCTCCACAGATGCTTCCAGACCTGAATCTCCCCAGAAATTTATTTTGTTTTTTGTTCCCTCTAGTTAAGGATTTGGCAACAAGTTTAAATTTCTGAAATTGACAGATTAGAAAAAAATTTGTTGGAAAATAGAATAATTTGCTACTGTAAATTTCAAAGGGAGATGCTGTGGCAATATTCAGGAAGTTTAGATAATACATGAAGCAGGGGAAGAAATAGACAAATGGGGAAAAATGCAGGGCAGTAGTATTGCCTGAGCAAGGACTCAGGACAGGCATAACAGGCAGAATTACCACCTGGCTGTAAATGCCGGATTCTCAATGTCTTTCTAGGTACCAAGACCCTATGTTGTCATTAAGATTATAAATTTGAAAGTTGATAGCTATTATTAATTTGTGCATAACTTATCATGTGGGAATAATCCTGTTTTTGAAGTAGGGCAATCAGTTTTTTTCGCAGCTCACTTCTGTACCATCATCTCCGCAGATACTGTAAACAAGACGCATTTCTGAGTAAATAATGTCATTTCCAGCTCTCACTAAAGACATCTATTTGAGTATTACTAAGGAAAGAGCTGTGCTGTCAAAGCTTTTGTCTTGCTCTCATCAGACCAGAATTCAAGTGTACCAAATTTCAAAAAAAAACAGTTTTATACTGCATGAGAAAGTGGTTGTGTTTGCTAATGCAACACCTCGGGTAATCCTGGTTGACTTGCCTGCTTCAAATTTTAACAAAAGCTTGAGGGATAACTGTTCCCCTTGTCTCCATGCAGCATTGTTACTAGAGTCCACTTGCCAACCAAGCAGCACCCTTTACTCATGCAGCAAAAATTGTTGTGCCTTTTAAAATTTGCTGTTCTTGTGGTTCCGTTTTGATGTGTACAAGACAATTTTTAAAAAAACTTTTTAAAATTCTTGCAATTATTAATGTTGACTTGTTAATTTTACAGTACAGAATAATTGTTCCAAAGATGGGTGCAATTTCTGACCTGTGTACAGCCCTCTCTCAAATCTCGGGAGTAGCTGCAGAAAAGGTAAATTGGTCAAATCATGACTGAAGAATTGCATTAAACATTAGAATTTCTGTACTCGGAAGCTGCTTGCCTACACGATGTACATGCTAGTGCATTCTGTCAACAGATTTGCAAAATGTCTAATCTGACCTGAGGATTGAATCAAAATCTGAGCATTTGGAAATATTTCCTGTCCATAATAGTGGTGTTTCTATAGTTGAGGTTTTAGTATCAGGAAAGTATTTGGCATGTTTGTATTCTTGTTCTGAATATCTCTGAGCATCAAATGATTAAGCTTCGTAAAACTGTTAACTATAGTTAATTAGAAAACGTGTTAACTCCCAATGTCCAAGTGCCTGCAGAATTAATGATGACCTAGATGAGAAATCACCAACATACACGAAACAATGAAATAAAGTCAAAATACCGCAGATGCTGGAAATATTAAGCAGTTCTGGCACAATCTATGGAGAGAAGCAGTTAATGTGAAGAAAAGTTCTTGATCTGAACTTTTGCACGGGGAGCGTTCAGATGATAACTTCTTCATCCATTGCTCGTTGGACTTGTTGAACTAATGTTTTAATAAATTTACTGGTCTGTAACAGATCAAGTTTATACAGCTAAAATGTAGTTGACTTTTTCTACCAGTTTTTTTAATTCAAAAATTACCATTAACACTTCTTGGAGGCTTCCTTTCTCTTGTGTCGCCATGACAAATAGTTCATGTCAACCCATGGCAAATAATGGCTTTTGAATTCTGGCAGGGTGGGGTTGACAAAGGAAAATATGATACCATGAATTTGGTCGAATTTGAAAGCAGAATACAGGGTTAATGGCAGGATTCTCGGCAGTGTGGAGGAACAGAGGAATCTCGGGGTCCACGTCCATAGATCCCTCAAAGTTGCTACCCAAATTGATAGGGTTGTAAAGAAGGCGTATGGTGTGTTGGCTTTCATTGGCAGGGGAATTGAGTTTAAGAGCTGCGAGGTTATGCTGCAGATCTATGAAAAGCTGGTAGACCACACTTGGAATATTGTGTTCAGTTCTTGTCACCGCATTATAGGAAAGATGTGGAAGCTTTAGAGAGGGTGCAGAGGAGATTTACCAGGATGCTGCCTGGACTGGAGGGCGGGTCTTATGAGGAAAGGTTGAGGGAGCTAGGGCTTTTCTCACTGGAGCGAAGAAGGATGAGAGGTGACTTGATAGAGGTTTACAAGATGATGAGAGGCATAGATAGAGTGGATAGCCAGAGACTTTTTCCCAGGGCGGAAATGACTATTACAAGGGGGCATAATTTTAAGGTGATTGGAGGAAGGTATAGGGGAGATGTCAGAGGTAGGCTCTTCACACAGAGAGTGGTGGGCATGTGGAATGTGCTGTGGGGTAGTGGGGTCAGATACTATAGAGACTTCGAAGCAACTCTTGGATAGGCACGTGGAGGATAGTAAAATGTAGGGTGTGCAGGGTAGATTGATCTTAGTAGGATAATAGGTCGACACAATATTGTGGGCGCAAGGGCCTGTACTGTGCAGTACTGCTCTATGTTCTATGAATCTTTACAAATCATAATAGAAAAGAGATTGCAAACTTGGAAAGAAAAACATTGCAGGTTGTATAGCATAAATATTTTCAATTGTTATTTCATCTTAAATTCTGGTTATGTCTGTTATTTTAGCAAAACAAGTCACCCACTGTTTTTGCACAAATATTCAGATTGATAAGGTAATACAGGCTCTATTTTGAAACTTGATGTTGTGACTTCGGTCCTCACTGCCCTCTTTTCCAGTTGTAACCTTTGTTTTGGCCACTATATTTTTCATAACCACAGTTGGGGTTGCTTTAAGATCCTGAATCAGCACAAGACCTATTAAATAATTTGTTGGACCATTTTAAATTTCTCTTTCTGCTACTTGTGTTTCAGCTTACGTTTTTCTGTTCCCAGAATATATTATTGAAATAATTTTCAGGCCATGATTGCACTATTTTAATCTTAGCTTTGTAAATTTAGCTGCATTGCTGAAGAAAGTAGTGCTACACAAGTTGAAAAATGTGGAACTTGGCATTTTTGTTTTCCTATAGCTTAAGAAAATGAGATTCTGGAATTGTGTAACTACTTTTGTCACTAAGCAGAGTCAGAAGTTAAACTGCTGAAGATTTTCACATTATTAATCTTTAATATTGAATGGGAAATGTCCAAGTTCTGTTTGAGATGTGCTGTTTATGATATTTCTAATGAAATCCTGGTACTAAATTGTCCACTTGATAAGATGTTGAACTTCTCCTGTTAATTGACCAGTGACAGTGAGATGGTGGCATAGTGGTAATGTCAATAGACCCATAATCCAGAAGCTAATGCTGACATCAGTTTAATTCCCTTCCCTGCAGCTGGTGGAATTTAAATTGTTAGTAAATCTGAAATTAAAATCTAGTTTCATGAAAAGTCCATCTGGTTCATTAATGTCCTTTTGGAAAGGCAATCCACTACCCTTGTCTGGCCTGGTATCCACATGACTCCAGACAATAGCCTAGAAGGCCACTCAGTCCAAGGGCAGTTGGGGATGGGCAACAAATATTGGCGTTGCCACTGATATCCATTCCCCATCCAAAAAAATACTCTTGGGTTGAGTACTTGGAGTTTATGGAGATTCCTTAAGTCTTGTCTTGTGTGATATGCCTGTAATGGAAAAGCAGAATCCATAGATTTTTGTAAGAATATCTAATTTGACTTAAATATGTTCATGGATTTTCACTTGCATCTTGCATCAAATTGACCAAAACTAACCACAAAACAGCTTGTTTCACATTCTAAGTTCAATTTTTAAAATGTACAGTTTGTTTTTTAGATCTGGAAGTAGAACTTATTTTTGTTCAATTTAAACGCTTCTAATATTTCAGATGTTTATGAATCTTAAACATCTGCAGTGATATATTAAGGAAGCTAGTCCACATTGGCAAATTTCCTATTACTAAAATAATTGCATTCCACAAATGTTCTCATTGTAATCCAGTTTTTGGGTTAAATGTTCAATTTAACGTGGAATGTTAGAAATAAGAGCAGAAGTACGGTAAAGTAACAAGGATAGGGCATTCAATTCCACATTTTGGCTCCACCATTCAGTAAGATCATCACCTCAACTCCACTTTGCCTACCTTCCATAACTTTTCACCTCTAATAGATCTATCTAACTCCGTCTTGAATATAATCAGTGACCCAGAATTCCAAAGATTAATGACACTGTTCTAAATAACCTAGTGACCAGATAGATCATGTGAATGAACCTGGTACAATCGATGCATTGTTTTATCTGATTTCGTGCGGTTATAGCGATGGCCAATCTTCCTGCAAGCTGTCTAGTTGGGTGAAATGCCTCCATTTGAAAGAGGGAATGGTTGCTCCAGTGCTGGAGAAAACAGAATCCTTAGATATTTTTTCCCAAGATCAGATTGAAGCGTCTGTTTCTGTGTTTATTCAATCAGCAATGTGAAAGTAATTGACTTTGCCAAGAATTTTTATGATGGTGGATATAGAAAGAGCTATGATCAAGACTCCCACTGTCCTTGGTCAAAGAAAAATTGCTGGTGCAATCGTTGGGATGAATATTGAGTATGGTGCATTATGATGGCCTCTGATTGATCTAGTGACATGCATGAAGGATTACTAATCAGGGAAGTACAATTGTTAAGGCATCACAACACACCAACGATAGTTAGGGGCTCTCGTGGAACAATGTTATATCCCAACCCCTGGGCCAGAAGGTCCAGATCCAAGACCACCTACCGAGTCCAAACAAGTTTGATATTTTAAAAAACAGAAATTACTGTCTCACTGTCTTCACAGCAGATTTAAAGTTGATTATAGCATTAGAATGTTCAAGTAGGTTACCTTGAAAGGGAATGAAATCTAAATTTGTTATTCACTCACCCACACTAATCTTTTTCCAAGTATCTTCACAATTTTAAAAAAAATTCTCCAAGACTAAATTCAGTATCAAATTAACATGCACACTGTAAGTATACTACACTGTAATTGTGTTTTTTTTTCATGACATATAACTCCCGTATTTTTCTTTCATAGATGGTGGTTGCTGACGTTTATAATCATCGGTTCCACAAAACATATCGACAAGATGAAGCCTTAAACCACATTATGGACCGAGATGATATCTTTATGTAAGTATAACAGCCATCTGTTTTCATTCTCAATTTTTCATTTTAATTGTGACAGATGGAGCTGTAGTTCTTGTTACTTCCATGTTCCCTTACTTTTCTGTGGTATAGGCTATTATTACATTTCCTGGTGCATTTCAGATTGCAGAAGCCTCAATTTTTGCGTTGTGGAAAATAGTTTTAAAATTTCAGTTGAAAGGAATGTTCATTAGCTTTAATTAGGAAGGACTAGTGACTTGAATGGGTAGTGCTCTATTGACTTCCATCCAAAACAGGAAACACTCATTTCGAGCAAAGATCAATCCTGTATATGTCAGCAGGGATCAAGATAATCACAGAATTGCTGCTTCTGACTGCTACCTAATGCCTTTAATTGAATAGTGTCCTTTGAGGACAAAAGTGATTTATTTTTTGGACTTGTTTATAACAAGTTGAGACTTCTAGGCTGACTGCCTTAGAATCCTGTGACAGAAAGTCTAAAGCTCAGTTTTTGTTTTTGTTTTCCAGTAAAGCCGATTAGTAAGTTGAATGTAGCCCAGAAACAACATGTTGTTTTTGTTCAGGATGTCAAAGTTGCTGGAAAAGCTCAGCAGCTTTGACATCCTGAACAA